TCCTTCTTACCTTAAGTTCTTAACTACTCCAAGTGTTTTACTTACATTAGCTTTTTAGTCTTCACAACAACCTTTATTGTCCTGAGTGCTGTTGATATCATTCCATTTTAGGGAAGACAGAGCTGAAATGCACAGAGATGAAGCTGCTTGCCAAGGCCACCCAGTTTACAACGTCAGAGCTGGGTTTAGACACAGGGCGTGTACTGCTAATAACCTGTCTACTCTGTCTCTCCAGGGAGCTGAGGCCTTGGAGTTGTGAGGCATTTGCCCATAGTCAATAGTGGAGCTAATCAATAGGGAGCTAGGGTTCAAAACTCCATTGGCTTTGCTTTACAGACTGAGCTATTGGCAGTAGAAATGAATGAGGGATAGAAAGTGCTAGGCACCGTTCTTGGCACATCATGATACTCATAATTTCTTTCCTTATTCTTTTACCATTCCCCTAGAGCATTCCTTGGGGGCTGTCTTAGTTAGCTCAGGCCTCAATAACAAATTCCCTTAGACTAGATGGCTTAAATAACAAACATTCCTTTCTAACAATGCAAAAGCTGGGAAGTCTGAGATGAAGGTGTCAGCATGGTCGGGCTCTTGATGAAGGCCCTCTTCCTGGTTTACAGACAGTCACCTTTTGCTATGTCCTCACATGGCAGCCAATGGGATGATCACTTTCTCCCAATCATGCTTGGCAAATGGACACAGATCACCTTTCGTGGGAGCAACGGCCGCCTTTGTTTCCTATACTGTATTCCTTTCCTGTCAGTTCTGCCAGGCACAGGATGAGCCTGCAGAGGCATAGGGGCTGGCTTTGATCATCCCATTGGCTGCCTCACTCTAGGAAGTGGGTGTGACCTACTGTCAACCCTCTCCCTTCCTCTGCCTAGGTCATTGACATTACTTGGCTCCTTTAGGGAGCAGGGTCATTGACCTAGGTCAATGACCAGGAATGGCATTTACTTTTACTGATATTTCAGATCATTTATTCATTTAAACAACAATGTTCATTGACTTATCACTGTACAGAAAAAAAGGAAAGACAACAGCCAATTGTATTAAATTGATCTAATCAACAATATGAAACTATATGTAAAATAAAGTACTTAATGATTTTAGATAGCCATGTGTAAGTACAGTCAAGATGACATCATCATGAAAGGCAAGGTTAGGCCACTTGGTTCCTAAGGAGTTTCTCAGGTGGGAGAAACTTATTCGGTAGACACTTGATATTCTTAAGGAATGGATTCTGAGATCTTTGCAAATTCCGATTCCTAGTGCTTTTCTAAATAATATCTTTATCCAGAGCCAGGGTTTTCCTGTGCATAGCCTTAATGCTCCAGGTCTCAAACCTGATCTCCCACCTAATAGCTGTTTTTCCAGGAAATTCCTACTGCAGGCTCTGATTTCAAGTTTCTCATAAGCTGCTGAAATGACTGTTGTTAACTTAGTGAATGCCAGTGATCTGCTGTGACTGCTAGAGTCCAATCCAATTTGACACTAGTATGAAGTGGCTAGTAGGAGTCAGATACATGCCATGTTAGCTGACACAGCAGGGAGCCAAAAAATATAATTCCTACACTCATAGGATTTGCATCTGGTAGGAAAGACAGAGCCATTCAGAGGGTTGGTTGTGAATTTGTGAGTGCTTTCAAAGGCTCTGTGGTCCCCAAGTTCCTCCACCTCCTGCTTACCTGAAACATCAACCACTCCAACTATTCAGGGGTTCTGGAGGAGTATGCACTAAGTGAGTTAAGACATTTATACTTGCCTCATTCCCCCATTCAGATTCCCGCCTGGGCTCTTACTCCCTCACTCCTAACCAGCCTCTGCTAATCTGTGAGCATATGTTCCTATCTCAGGGCATTTGCACTTGTCCCTCTGCCCACAATGATGCCCCATTCCCTTAGTCACAGGCTCAGTCAAGGACCACATCCCCCAGAGGTTTTTCTAGCCATCCTATTAGATAAAGCAGCCTCTGTTACTCTCTAACCCCTTATTCTGCTTTATTTTTCCTCATAGCCCTTACAATTATTTGACATGTTATTATATATCACTCTTGATAATGAGAATAGATGCTCTAAGAGAGTTGAAACGTCTTTGTCTTTTTCACTGTTGTGTTCCCAATTCCAAGAACAGGGACTGGAACAGTAGGTTCTCAGTAAACATTTATTGAATGAGTAAATGAGTAAATGTGTCCTGAAATATGTAGACAGACACAATGTGAATCTTTTAAGAAGAGGCTCTGGGCTCTGAGGGATGAGACAAAAAAAAGATTTTGACTGGGTGCAGTGGCTCACACCTGTAATCCTGGCACTTTGGGAAGCTGAGGCAGGTGGATTACGAGGTCAGGAGTTCGAGACCAGCCTGACCAACATGGTGAAACCCTGTCTCTACTAAAAATACAAAAATTAGCCGTGCGTGGTGACACACACCTGTAATCCCAGCTACTGCCCAGGAAGCTGAGGCAGGAGACTCACTTGAACCCAGGAGGTGGAGGTTGTAGTGAACCAAGATCATGCCATTGCACTCCAGCCTGGGCGACAGAGCAAGATGCTGACTATAAATAAGTAAATAAATAGAAGATTTTGATGAGAACAGGACAAGATGCTCTTAGAGATCTGCAGGCCTATATGTGGTACTTTTTTGGATGGAGGGCCCTGAACCATTAGGACACACAGAAACTGGATCCCAGAATACCAGTAGTATAAATATTACATTTTGTAGGGTGGCTCCTCCAACGACACCCTTTCCCTACAGTGCTCAGGTCTGCCCCTCCTTTGTCTTCCTGAAACTGCTTATCTCCATAACATCCAGCGCTTGCTGTGGATTAGTGAGCAGGGTCTCCAGGTATTACCGTGATGGTTGCTGCAGATCAGTGGCAACAAGGAGCAGCAAGAGAACGTTAGAAATTTCAGCTTGAGAAGCTGGTGAGCAGAGTGGGATCCACAAGATACCTGGAGTGAAGGGCTGTTTCCTAGTCTGGTTCTGTTCAGCTCAGATATGTTTCCTTCCAACTTATCTCTGCAGTCAATTCCTAGCAACTTGTTTGTGGTTTTCTACTTAAAGCAATGATAGGTAACTAAAACACTGAAACAACAACAACAAAAAAAAAACTTCTAATTTCTATACAGTTACAACTCAGTGAAATAAATGTCATTTCTAAATGACATTTATTTAGAATAAAAGTTATTTCTAAATATCTGGAAAGGACTGCTTAAACATACACAAAATAGTTAATGTAATGGTTAATCTTTATGAATAATTTAGTGTGGCCAAGTAGTCAGCCAAAACCTACAACTGAAATTTTAAAATAAATCTTAGAGTCAAGACCTGAACACCAACCTCTGCAAGTGTGCATTCAAGTATAGTTTCTAACGCACGTCTTACAAATGTGGGTTTATATGTTTAGTAATAATAGCCAACATTTATTTAGCACAAATTGTGTTTGCTTTGGTCTGAACTTGTTGTGTGCCAACTCTAACACAGGTGCAAATGACTAAGAGCTCCCTTTGTCCAAATAAGGAAGTGGAGAGCCTGAGGAAAGAGATGATTTACTGAAAGATTACTCAATATGCTAGTGTGGGAGTTTTGAAAAAAGGTTGGGTCTTCTGGCTCCTGATTGTTTTTGAAATCTTGGCCTTGCCCTGGCAACACTGCAACAAGGCCAAATACGACAAGGAGAGGAATTTGCAAATAAGCATATGTGACCTTTTGTACAAATATGTGAGTAGATCATGAGAAAAAAGAAGTTTCCTGTTAGTCAAAGTAATAGGTAGAAGACAGTTTGGCAGTTTCTTACAAAACTAAACATACTCTCACCATATAATTCCACAAACGAGCTCCTTGGTATTTACCCAAATGAGCTGAATATTTGCCCCCACACAAAAGCCTGCACATAAATCTTTACCTCATTTTTACTGATAATTGCAAAACTTGGAAGCAACCAAGATGTCCTTCAACATATGAATGAATAAATAAACTGTGATACATTCAGACAATGGAATATTATTTGGCAATTTAAAAAAAGGAGCTTTCAAGCCACAAGACATGGAGGAAATTTAAATGTATATTACTAAGTGAAAAAAAGCCAATCTGAAAAGGCTACATGTTCCATGATTCCAACTATATGACATTGTAGAAAAGGCAAAACTATGGAGGCAGTAAAAAGAGCAGTGGTTTCCAGGGGTTAAGGAGGGATGAATGGGTGGAGCACAGGGGATGTTCTAGGGCAGTGAAACTACTCTGAATGACACTATAAGGGTGGATTCTTATCATTATAAGTCATTTGTCCAGACTCAAAGAACATACAACACCAAGGTAGAATCCTAATGTAAACTATGAGTTTTCGGTGATAATGGTGTATTCTTCAATTGATTCATCAGTTCTAACCAATTCACCACTCTGGTGGGGGATGTTGATGAGGGAGGCTATGTATGTGTGGGGACAGGGTCTGTAGAAGAACTCTAACGTCTGCTCAGTTTTGCCATAAACTATTCTAAAAAAAAAAAAAATGTTAATTAAAAAAAAGTAATGGGTAGGGCTGTGGGAGTGGTGATGAGGACAATAACAGAACTGAGCATCGCATAAATAAAGGATATGAGAGTAGGTCCTTGCCTTTGGGTTTTTCCTAGAGGTGGGGAGAATGCCTAGATGCACAGAATTCTTGCTCCAATCCATCGAGCAGTTCCTATGTGCCCATCACATTTACATTGCACAGTATCTTCACAGAAATCCTGCTCTGTAATTTTGGCTCAGAGAAAATCAATTATTTGTTGCTGAAAGTCACATGACCACAAAGTAGCAAGGCCAGGTTCGAATGCTGTTCAGCTGGCTCTACATCCAGTTTTCCTCTGTAAATAACCGCTGGAAAGGTAAAAGCAGTGACTAAGGAACAGGTTTGCTTTACTAAACACATCATGCTTCAGAATCAACTTTGTATGCATGATATACAGCAGGCCAACGGATGGATTATATCTGAGGCTAGAGGGAAAACATAAAACCACCTCAACAGCATCATCATTTATTTATTTCACAATTAAAAGAAAAATGAGGGGCTGTGAGGGAGGTGACAGGTGACAGAAGGAATAATTAACAGAGAATCATTACTACTACCCTGAGGTATTGCCTTCCTAGAATTTCTCACACCAAGGATGCAAGGTCATTTGTGATGGACAAACAGAGGCAGACGTTCCTGGGAGTCACCCTCTCTTTGAAAGCGAGGAAGAAAACCCTCTGCAGCTCTGGAGCCATGCCAGGGAAGCTTGCTGCACAGCCAGGTGCCAATATATGGAGTGGCTTGGGCCCAGGGAAATCTAGCTTGGTTCATCACAGTCACCATTTTGGCACAGGCTTCTTGACCCCCCATTTATTGATGGGGGCACTGAAGTGGCAGGAAGACGCAGAAATGCAAAGGAACAGAGAGGAAAGCAGTGGGAGAACTCGGAGTAGAAAGCCACATGCTTTCAGGACTAGGCCTTTAGGTTCATCTCAACACTTCTGTTTTGTGGCAGCCAATCTGAGAATCTAGTTCAGTAGCATAAACTCTTTTCATAGGGCCCTCCACTACAGTTATTTAAACTTTTTTAACTTTTCATCTTAGATGTTGCAAAAGATTTCTGTAACTCCAGTTACAACAGAGTTTTCTCTACCCTTTGAACACCACCTAAGGGACTGATTGTCTTCTTTGGCCAGTGGCAAGACTCCAGCCCCCAGAGACATTGTCTAACCCACTAACCTGAGGCCCATCTTACATCAGGAGGCCTAATAGGAGGTGGGTGGAGATTCTCCCACACAGTGCCCTACCAGTTAGTGGACATTTCCCCCAACATCCAGAACCTCACTCCATAGTTCTGGTTGTGCTGTGAAAAGAGAAATCCCTTTCTGAACGTCCTTTCCAGCACCCAGTGAGGAATAGCACAGAGCCTTTGTTGTAACTAAGTTCCCCAGGTCCCTCTAGACCCAAGCAGGCTTCCTCAAGTCTCCTTTCTTCTCTGTAGTACATGGCTGGGACTCAGCCCACCTTCTTCGCCTCTTTCTAGGTTCACCCACCCTATTCTTCAGTTTCCATCCTGGTGACAGAGGGAGTTAAAATCTCCCTCTCTGCCTACTTCCTTGCTACTCCAAACAGAGAACAAAGGCTTCACTCCTTATTGCTGCAGGGAAGCAGAAGTCAGTACACACACATTCTTACACACTTACACAGACACACACACAGTTTTAGTGCCTTACAAAGCTCTCGTCTGAATGTCATTAGACTAATTTTCCACTCCCATCTCAGATGGTAATTATAGATCCTTGTTATGGTTTGAATATTTTCCCCTCCAAAACTCACGTTGAAATATAATTTTCAAGGCGATAGTATTGAGAGGTGAGGCCTTTAGGAAGTGTTGATTAGTAACAGCTCTGTCCTCATGAATGGATAGTTGATTGGTAGATTAATGGATGAATGGGTTGACGGATTAGTGAGCTATTATGAGAGTGGGTTGGTGGCTGTGTAAGAAGAAAAAAAAGACCTGAGCTAATGCACTCAGCCCCCTCATCATGTGATTCCCTGCACTGACTCTGCACAGAGTCCCCACCAGCAGAAGACCCTCACAAGATGCAGTCCCTTAACCTCCTACTTCTCTGTCTGCATAAATGTAAGAAATAAATTCCTTTTCTTTATAAATTACCCAGTTTCAGGTGTTCTGCAATAAGTGACAGAAAATGAACTAAGATAGTGGACCTAGAAGATGGGCTAAGACAACTCTTTGGACTTGTCCCTCTATTTTTATTCTCCTAAGGTTGCTCACCTAAACTCTTCCTTATTCTGACCCAGACTTTTGTAAAGGCCATGCGGAACCTATATTTCCAGGTGGTCTCTTAATAGGCAATCAACAGAAACTAATGATTACTATTAATTGAGCCTTCAGTATGTAGTAGGCACTGTTAGAACATGATTTGCATGGATTAGCTTATATGGTCCTTACAGCTATCTGTGAAGTGGGCATATTATTCCCATTTTGGAGATGAGTAATCCGAGGCTTATAGAGAGTAAGTTAATTTGCTTAAGTTTCCATAACTTGTGGTGAGTGACAGAGCTAGGATTTGAACCTACACCTGCTTGACGTCAAACCTAATCCTTCTCAGCACAACACTCTGCTCCTGGAGACTACAGAACCGTTTAAATCTGGGTGGACCTATTTATTTGTTAATGCTCATTTCCCTATATTAATACACAGAGAACAACAAAAACCTCAAAAGGACAAAAAAATACCCTAACCATCTAACATCAAGTTTATTTATGACTCTGAGCTACCATCTAGTCAGCTGGGATCCTTTACCAACTCATCATCACATAGAATACTGGTTTATTTTATTGATAATATTATTCTGATAGAACCAGGAGAACAGAAAGTAGCAAATATTCTAGGTGACTTGGTAAAACATATCTACCAGAAGATGAAAGAGAAATATGATTGGAATGCAAGTTCTTGTAACTCAGTGAAGTTGTTTTAAGCCTAATAGTGTAGGCTACATTAGGCTATCACCTTCAAACTGAAGGATAAACCGAGGAATCCTAAACCTTCAAATACTAAGATGGAGACAGAAAGCTTCGTGGACCTCTTGGGAATTTGGAGGTAGTACATACCATTTACGAGGTGAACCAAAGGCTGCCTGTTCTGCATGGGACCAGAGAGAGAAAAACACTTTCCACCAAGCTAATACTGTAGGAAAAGCAACTTTGCCACATTTTCCTTAAAACCCAGCAGCCCCAATTATGCCCAAAGCTTCTGACAGATCAGGTTGCTCTTGACTGCACAGTGGAATCACCTGATTCCATTGCACTTATAAACTTTTTATTTGTTTGTGTTTTAGAAATAGGGTCTTGCTCTTTTCCTCAGGCTGAAGTGCAGTGGCACAATCATAGCTCACTACAACCTCAAACTCCTGGACTCCAGGGATCCTCCCATCTCAGCCTCTTGAGTAGCTAGGAATACAGGCATGCACTACCACGCCCACCTTGGAAACTTAAAAATAGTGTTGATGCCTACGTCCCACTTCCAGAGATACTGATTTAATTGGTTGAGAACCAGCAACCTATGGAGAACAGTGGTTTTCAAATTTTAGTGCACATTAGAATCACCTGGTGGGCTAATTAAAACAGATTGCTGGGTCTTATCCTAGATATTCTAATTCTGTATGTCTGGGAAGTGAGGCCCTAGAATTGGCCTCACCAATTCTGGAATGTTCTAACACATTCCCAGGTGATACCAATTCTGTTGCAAGGAGCTAACAACACTTTGAGAAACGCTGATGTTTCATGTCAAGCTGCCACAGGAGAATCACAACGGAGTTTTCTACATCCTTGCTAAAGAATGGTCCATGACCTGCAGCACTGACAATAACTGGGATTTTATTAAACATGCAGAATCTCAGGCCCCAGATAAAACTTACTGAATTGAAATCTGCATTTTAACATGATCCCCACAGGATTCAAAGGTACATTTAGTTTGAAAACCACTGTTCTGGGTCTCTGAAGCAAATCCATGCTGTATTTCATAGATGATTCTCCTCTTGAGTAAATGACAGTTATTCATTGGAACCTCTTCACTTGCTCTTGGGCCCTGGCAGAGACCAAAAACATGACCATAGGTGAGCATATGACCTAAGCCTCCCATCATGAGCTGGGTGATGACTGACCCAACGAGCCACAAAGTGAGTCACACCTGCCAGCTCTCTACCGTCAAGCAGAAATAAGACTGAAATGACCAAGACGGAACATGTTCTGAAGACAAAGTAAATCACATAAACAGGTTACTTACACTCCCCAGCAGGCCTGCTCTTGCCACACTGCTATCCTCTTCCAATCTTCACATGCAGTCTTGCAGGGAGTTCTCTGGTAAGCAATTGATTGAAGAAGAAAAATTATCAAGCTCAGTTACAAATGGCTGTGCATTAGAGTGGATCATGGTGGCGTTATAGCCTATACAGTATGCCTCTGAACAATTTTGGTGAAGGGTTATTTATATAAAATTATATATTATAATATATATTATATATAGAGATATATATCTTTAATATATATATTCTACATATGATATCTACATTTTTATGTGTACATGTATATATACACACACGGTATATATATATGTATACATACATGCATATGTATATATCTCAATAAAAATAAATAGTGAATCCCGAAGTAAACTTACCCAGTATGGATACTAGTTTATGGTAGAGGTGGGTGATTGGATAGCAAAGGGAGTTTTCAATAAATAGTGCAGAGAAAACTGATATACACATAGGAAAACAATCATGTTAGATTTCTACCTCACCACATGCACAAAAAATCCAGTTGTATCTTTACTACCTGAGATTAGAGAACAAGACACATAAAATACTAACCACAAAATGTTTGAAGAATTCAGCTACATTAAAGTAAAAATAATTCATCAAAACACATCATAAAGTGAGTTAAAAAAACAAGCCACAGAATGGGAAAATATATTTATAGGATATAAAGACAAATAAGATCCAGGTACATAGAAAATACCTTTAAATTGTTAAGAAAAGACAAATAACCCAATAGGAAGACGGACAAATTCCTGAAAAGATGCTTCACAAAGAAGGATCTCCAAGTGACTAAAATACTCAAAAAAGATACAACTTCTTTGGTAATCAGGGTAAAGAAAATTAAAACCAAATGAAATACCACTATATCCCCATCAGATTTGCAAATATTAAAAGGTCTGACATTAACAAATATTAATGAAGATGTAGAGCAACTGGGATTCTCAACTGATGATAATAGTATATATTGGTAGAACTACTTTGGAAAAACGTTGAAAATTATCTAACAAAATTGAATATGCACTTGACCTATATAACCCAGCAAATGCACTTTTGGGGTTGATACCTGAAATGTATATACACATGTACATCAGGGTATATGTATAAAAATATTGATTGCTTCCTTATTCAAAATAACTAAAATGGGAAACAACCCAGATGTCCATCAATAGAACAGTAAAAACTGAATTATGATTTATTCATTAGTAAATCACTACACAGAATTAAAAATAAACTTCAGACACATGCAACAATACCAAGAATCTTAAAGACATAATATCCAGCAATATAATCAGTACACACAAAGTTTCATTTATACAAAGCTCAGGAATAAAACTAAGCAGGATTTTTAGAAATGCACTTACAGATGATGACTGACCCACTATCAAGGAAAGTAGTTAACATTGCTCTGAAACTCCTGGAAATTCTTGATTTTTCTTTCTTAATTTCTACACCCACCGCCCCCCTCTCTTCCCTAACTCAGTAAAGAGTACCCTCATCCACTCAGCATTTCAAGCCAGTGAGATATCGCCCTTAATTCTGGTTTTTCATTAATTTCCATACTTCTAATCTATTACGTGTCTTATGAGATCTCAGACCAATATATTGCCTGAGTATGTCTATTTATGTCCCTTACCAACACTACCACTGAAGTCTAAGCAATCGTCACCTTTCTTTCTGGATTACTGCAACAGCCTCACAGCTTCCACTTTTGACCACATACACTCCATTCTGCACTCAGCCTCATAGTGATCATTACATAGGATAAAATGGTGTGGCCAGTTAGCTCAGTTGGTTAGGTCATGGTGCTAATAAAATATAAAACATGTCACATCACTCTTCTGCATGGGTCCATGTCCTCTGTATGCCACGTCTTCCACATGTAGAGTAGAGGTAGGGTATGTTCACACCTTCAATGACAACTACACATTTATGCTCCAACATGTCCAAAATTGTTCCTAGGTTTCAAAGTTTTTGACATATCAAGAACTGCTGATTTTAACGTCGTATTTTGGTCCCATGTTTAAGATTTTCTACAGATATTTTTACTTCAAATCTTCAAATTCCATCTATGCCTGGGTCTTATACTATCCCCAGAAATTAACAACGCTTCCATACCCATAGGGCTGCCCCCTGTCCCACTCGGTCCCATTTAATAAATATAACCCCCCCTCCATTCGCCACCTGCTGGATGTGAGTGGCTACTACAATGCCATGGATGTCCTGACTACATTTCTCAGACAGGCCTGCTCTGTGTCTTTGGATTCTATGTAGATTTTACATTTGTAAAATATTACATTTGTCATGACCAGAAGAAATGTAATTATTGTAAAATTTAGATTCTGGATTCTATATATGAAAACAGTATTATGCAAAACATTACTACTGTTATAACACAAAAATGTGGGATGCATATCTGTCACAGACCACTGCCACCTTGTAAGTTCATTCAAGAATCTAATCCTGGATTTAGCAGTTTCTGCACAAAGGGCATGCACTATTTTTATTGATAATTCAGTCAAAAATATTGATGAAGATCTATATGATTAAAAGAATAAGTTTATTCAATTGGCTCCAATATAATCCTATTGTCACCAGATCATAAACACCAAATTGTTATTTTCCCTGTGCTAGTAAAGGTATAAGCAGAAGCAATTTCAAAAGAAAACATAACACCTAGTAGGGATAATGATGAAAGCCAAAATGAATTATTTGAAAAGAATTTTAGATGTAAAAAACCATAGGTATGAGACGAGAGAAACTACAAATAAACTGCATTGTGATAAAATAAAGCATAGCTATGTTTAATTTTTTAAAAATTATATTTTTTATAATTTTATAAAGAAAATTATATTTTATAAAGAAAATTTCTTTTTATAAAGAAAGTTATTAGCACCAAGTGTTTCTCAAGATTTAATTATAATAATTAAATCTTGAGAAACACTTGGTGCTAACAATTTTCTCAAAAGTACAAATATCCAAGTTATACAGAAAATAAAACAACTTACTTTCCACCAAAAATTTCTAATTTTATTTTGAGAAAAGGTAACACCAAGAAAACAATTTAAACTGCAGAAACAATGGTTAGCATAAAAAAAAATAATCAAAAAGATATACCATGTTATAAGTACTTAACAAACTTATAAACCATTTCTTCCATAAGATTCTCCATATTTTAAGTTCATACATGTTGTTATGATCAGATTTACAATTTTTCAGAAAAGACGGGGAAAAAGGTGTGATTATCATCAGCTAGATGTGCTCACTGCATGCTCCATTATTTATCTGCAAGGCCTGAGTCACTGGAAGTGCAGTTGACAGGCATTTTAATAAACTGGACAGCCATTTGTTCTTCAGGACAAGGCGTGTTTCCCCAGAAGCAATCAGAAGAAAACAGGAAGCAGCTCAGCACTCTGCACTGCAACAGGCCACCTTAATAACTAACCAGCATCACTCAACGGCTAGGCAGCCAGGCCTGGTGCACAAAAACACAGAAGAGATTAGAATTGTGTTTGCTAAAAACCCAGTCCTTTCACATGAAAAATCTTTATACGAATTTAGGTGATACTACGTTTCAGACTTGGAGATAAAATATTAATTTACAACACCTTTTGTAGGGTTTTAACTTTAAGGAACGAAGGCAATGTTGAAGCAATGTGGTAACAGCGTTAGGCTGTGTGTAATGCCTGCACAAGTTTCCTTAAAAGTCAGGAGGCCACAAATTAGGTTACCAATCTGTTCATTTCAAACCTAAACAGTCAGCTCTATAGAAATAAAAATAAATTTTTGCCTCAAATATCCAAACCCAAAATGTAATCTTAGGTCGTTCGCCTCCTAAATTACAAGAAAATGTGAATAACAACAAAACAGCACATAGAATGAATTTTGCCACCTGATGCAAAGCTTCAAACTAGTAAAAAGGTAGAAAAGTACGACACAACCTTTTCAATAGGCAGTCCCTTCTTCCAGGGACTCTGCTTTCAGGGACTGAGTATGTGATCCTTTTCCCCAAGTCCTCCATTACGTTGCTTGCTGTTGCATCATTTTCTTAAGAGGACACCTGTCCTTCCTCTTCAGGAGACTTGGGGGCCCTCTTGGATCGAGACCTGGACTTGGATTTCCTCTTGGATACCCGGGGAGGACTCCCAGTCATGGATGAAGACCTGGACCGTGAGCGAGACCTGGAGGCCGAGGAGGACTTGGATCGTCGCGCAGAGCGCGATTTGGAGGTTGATGCAGAGCGAGAGCCAGTGGAGGACCCAGACTTCGAGTGAGACCGGCTGCTGTGATATCGGCCGTAGCGAGAGCGGCTGCAGCGAGAGCGACTGTAACCAGATGAGCTGTAGCGAGATCCGCTGTAGCGAGATTCCCTGTAGCGAGATCGGCTGTAGCGAGATCGGCTGTAAGGAGATCGGCTATAGCGAGATCGTCTGTAGGGAGAGCGGCTGTAATGCGACCGGCTGTGAGGAGATCGGCTGTAGGGAGACCGGCTATAGCGAGACCCCTTATGGCGAGATCGGCTGCGGGACCTGGAGCAGCTCGGACCCCGGGATCGGCTGCGGTGTCGCCGCCTGGGGCTGCGGCTCCGCCGCCCGTAGCCGCCGCCCCCGGCCCTGCTGCGTGGCGCTCCATGGCGGCTGCGAGGCAGGTCCCGGCGGCCATAGCGCGCCACCTGCACCCGCAGCTCGCGTCCGTCCAGCTCCGCCCCGTCCATGGCGGCCTCGGCGTCTTCCGCATCGCGCTGGTCGTGGAAGCGGACGAAGGCGAAGCCCCGGGGCGCCTTGGTGTGCGGCTCCCGCGGGATATACACGTCGCCCACGCGCCCGTATTTCTCGAACACTCGCCTCAGGCTGTCGGGAGAGGTGCGGTAGGTCAGGTTGTCCACCTTCAGGGTGATCATGCCGTCCACGTCGGGAGGGGGGCGACCGCAGCTCATGGCTCCTGGAGCGGCCTGGGCCGGGGAACTGGCGCTGCCCTGGGCGCGGGCGGTGAGACCGACGTTCCTCTCTAGCGGTTGCGCCCCGCGTGGGGACGCCGGGAAAAGATCGGCTGAGAGGCGGGCCGCCAATTCTCCGCAGGGAGCGCCCTGGAGCAGCAACTCGCAAATTCCTAATTCCGGGCCAAATACTCCAGGACTCAGAGGAAGGTTTCCTCTTGGTGGCTGAACTCCAAATGAAACCAGGGCCCAAAGATCCTGGCTTTATACCTGGGCAACGTCCTAACCTAATCAGAGCCCAGATAATGTGATCACTGGGCTGGGTTTAGATTGGACGTCCCACCCACCCAGGCTTCTTCCTTTTATTTTACATTTTAAATCAATCTTAAGAACAAAGCTAAGTGATAAAAGGTCAGTCTATGGGAACAGGCAATCCAGACAAATATTAATGAAACTGAAATCTAACACTTTTTTATAGTAATCGAAAATTACTATAAAATTGAAAATTGCTGAAAATTCACCAGGAAGTCGTTGCAGTGTTGAACTTAACGCACCTAAACACACTACAGTGACACATAAAGAGCCGAGACTGAGAGTTATAAGGTAAAACTGAAAAATCTGCACTCAGGATGGAAGGTTTTTTTTCCTTGTAACGCCATTTTCTCAGAAATCAATAGTGCAGAGAACAAAACTAGTAATGCAATAATAATTTGCACAACAGACAACACTTTGATCATATAACCTGCAATAACCAAAAATATGTTGAAAACATTTACCAAAATTTCCCAATACAAGACTACAAAATAAACATCAATTAAAATTTCATAGTTCAATAAATTGAGCACATCTTGATCTCAGTGAAATGATATTGAAGGTCAAAGAGAAAACACCTGAATCCAGTCATATTTATTTGAAAATTAATAATCACATTTCTAAAACTCTTACTTTTCTATGTTGAAGTCAAGCAATTAGTAAAACAAAACAAAAACAAAAAAGAAAACAAAACATTAAAAGAAGGATAGAATTATAACTAGATAAAAGGGACAATATGTTTTTTTAAAAAACCTGATTAATAAAACTGAAATCCAACACTTTTAAAGAAAGAAAAACCTAGCAATACTGATGAAGAAATACAGTTTCTACCTCTGGAAAGGAAATATACAGAAAGGGCCGAGAGCATCTGGGACTGCTGGAAAATAAGGATGTGGTAAATAGAAAGAAAACAAAAGTATTCATGGGCTAATTTTAGAGTGGTACAAAAACCAATAAAACAGCTCCCAATGGCCAAATCTTGAACAATGTAAGGAAGAAACGAAAGTACTGCTATATTAAAATATAAAATAAAGGCCGGGCGCGGTGGCTCACGCCTATAATCCTAGCACTTTGGGAGGCCAAGGCGGGTGGATCACGAGGTCAAGAGA